CTGATGCTGCCAACTGGTCCAGTGGTGAGAATCTTTGTCTTCTTGACATTGAGCCTCAAGCCATACTGAAGGCTGCAGTTCTTGACCCTGTGCAGCAAGCACTTCAGGTCCTTATTACACTATGCTTATTATATCCCAGCACTGGAAAATAACTTAGTGGGATGTAGCCCAGTCCCTATTCAATGTCAGAATCTTCTCCAGCTGTTCTGTCAAGTGATGCCATTCTTTTTTTGAACCCTGATCGAACACTCATTAATCCTACACGCTGATCTTTGGAGACATTGCCTCTGATGGTTAAGACTTTGTACTTAGAGGGTAGGTCTTTTTCCTGGAGATACAAAAGGCAACAATTGCTTTTCTGTGTAAGAAGTGTTCAATTTTTGCAAGAGAACTATTATGAAATATTAGCCAAATTAAGGATTTCTGGGTCTTGAACAATTCTTTGGCCATCTTAGCCTCAGATACCCTCAAAAGCACTCTGGATTACTTTTTTCAATATATGTCACCAGTACTGAAGTGTATACTCTCAAGAGGACATTGTTAACTGAAACAGGCCATGCTTATCCAACATCCTCTGGTTTGGACCACCTGCTTTGGTTGAAGTGGTATGATTTTTTTGTTACTTACTCTGTTTTTGGTGGTCAGCTCTATCCCACTACTGACTCCCATTCAGTTTTATCTGGGAGGACTAAAGTGACCAATTATCATCCTTCCCCCACCACCCCGGGACTGAGAGGGGTTGCCAAGATGTAGCATTTTCAGTTTTAAAATCTAGGTCATCCCAGGATGCCAGGGACTCTTAAGGACTAACATGGACAAAGTTCCAGTTTGGGGTAAGTTGGCTCCCATGCGAAGAGTCCTAAGTTCTTTTCACCAGGGGCACACTGCCCTATTTATTAGGTAGGTAAGGCTCTCCCGTTTCTCAGTGTTTCGTGTAAATCAGGAAGTTGGCAAGGCAGGGATTCTGGGGCTGTCCAGTTCTCAAGGTGCTGTAGGAAAGGTGATCGGAGAGCATGATCTCACTAAAGCGAGCGCGTGCCCTGGGCAGGATGCAGTGTGGCTTGCTCCCCCTGGCATGAGTTCTTACCAGCTTACCCATGCACCGCTGGGGTGCCAGGCCGTCCATGCACTTGTGGTGAACGCTCATCTTACAGGCTTTACAGCGCAGTCCATGCTTAGCGTTGGTTCCTGTGAGACACACAGGGGACCTAGGTTAGGATACAGCTTACCTTTTCTTAGTGACTCGTGTTCAGTCACTGAAAAATAGACTCTCCTAACCACATATCCTCTCTTTTATGGCTTGTGCATGAAGGCTGCAGATGAATAAAACATTATGGTAGAGTCTCTCTCCTACCACATTCACCTCCAACTTCAGTTCTGGTTACCGCTCCCCTCCCCGCCGCCACTTCTTTCCTATTGATACTCCAGAAAAATCACCCCTTGCACGTTCTTTGTTTTCTCAATTCACAGTAACAGATTTTATTTTCTTTGTCGTATATATATCACTCACGTCTGCGTTTATTTCTGTCATATTAAATATCGCTGGATTGTACAAGGAGGAATGTGGCATCGGGATTGGTGGAAGAGTCATCAAGAGTCTGCGTTATGCAGATGATACAACCCTGCTTGCTGAAACTGAGAAGGACCTGAGGTGCTTGCTGCAGAGGGTCAAGGACTGCAGCCTTCAATATGGATTGAAGCTCAACATCAAGAAAACAAAGATTCTCACCACTGGGTCAATTGGCAGCATCAGAATGGATGGTGAAGAGATTGAGATAGTTATTAGTTTTAGTTTGTTTGGCTCCACAGTCAACACTCTTGGCACCAGGAGCCAGGAAATTAAAAGACGTGTTGCAAAGGGAAAGTCTGTTGTTAGGGACCTCTCCAAAGTACTGAAGAGCAACGATGTCAGGCTGGAGACTAAGGTATGCCTGATCTGGGTTATAGTCTTCACAATTGTGTGCTATGCACTGGAGAGCTAGGCAATGACTAAGGATGATAGAAAGAGATTTGATGCCTTTGAGCGGTGGTGCTGGAGAAGAGTGTTGAATATACCATGGACTGCTAGGAGAACAAACAGGTTCATCCTGGAGAGGGTGAAACCGGGCTGTTCCTTGGAGTCAAGGATTCTGAAGCTTCGTCTGACATACTTTGGGCATGTTGCAAGGAGGGACTGGTCCTTGGAGAGGGATGCCATGTTTGGGAAGGTAGAGGGACAGAGCAGGAGAGGAAGGCCCTCGATGAGATGGATTGATTCAGTGATTGGGGTGGTGGAAATGAGTGTGTCTGAGACAGTGAAGTTGGCACAGGATAGAGCAGGGTATAGGACTCTTACATAGAGTCACTATGAGTTGCAAGCAACTCGACAGCACATAACAACAAATAGTGTAAGCCCTGATATTTCATTTTCTCACCTCGTCACATCCCAGAATCTGAGTTACTCCGGACACATTCTCAGGAGAGTGACTGATGGAAGAATGTGCACTGGGTCAGCACGACAAGGCTGATGGCGTCTCATAGTGAGAGGAAGGCAGTGGTCTATCAGACACCTGTCCTCCTCCCTGGGGAAGGAGGAGAAGGCAGCAGGTGGCGTGGAGCTCTGCTATGGAAAGCAGGAAACACGTAACTTGTTGGGACATGCAGCAGGACTAGAGGAGAAGCAAGAAGGCACAGAGGAACGGAGGCTAGGTGTCATCTTGGGACGTGCGTTACGGCACCAAGTCCCAAGGTGAGGCGGCTGGAGGGTCACTGGGGAGAACAGAGAGGAGAAGGATGTTTGGGAGCTTTAGGGAGGGGCCAGTGGTACTGGAAATTTCCATTCATCACTTTAGAAAGAAGCCTGATAGGGGCAAGAAAAAGAGGTTAAAATGGGATATTTTCTGACTTTGTCTAGACTAGAACAAGGATATGAAAATTGTGTCAATCATTCCGTTTTATACAGCAGAGGCCGGAGGGAATGGGCACAGAATGGCTGGGCTGAGGTCAGAGGAGATTCCTCAAAGTTACACACTTTCAAATGCTTGACCCGGATATCCAGTCCCTTTGTTTGGGATTATTTCATCTACATGGAGATGCAGTTGGAGCTAATTAGAGCATAAAACGGAGGTGTGGCAAGACCTGGCATTTAATTGGGAAAAAACAATAGGTAGGCTCTTGAGTGGAGCAAATAACGGAGAGCCAGTCAAGAGGTATGATCTACATTCTCCCTGTTTAAAACAAGGCCATGTCTACTCTTGTAACTACAGACAGAAAGCCGAAGTGACACAGCCACACCAGGCATCATTGGGAATGTGTGTTCATAAATACTAGTCGAAGAGCTCCTTCTTCTTTTTAAGAACAACCGCTTGGTTGTAAAGCCTTGCAGTGCCTTCAAAGGCGGGCCTTGGAAAACAATCACTTCGTTTTCTGTTTTCAGATTTAGAGAAGACTATTTGTACGCTGCGTGGGAACGTAAGTAAAAGCTTCAAAGAGCAAAGTTATTTCATTTTGTGCTGGACTCTGAAATAGCATCATTACACACTGAGGCATATTTTCCTTCAGACCTCAAACACCATAATTTTGGTTTTCCTTGTCCGTTCTAATGCACTGCATTATTTTGTATGAGTCAGACCACCCAGTAATTATTTGGTTTTAGGTGTTCCAATTTCCACTGTGGAATGAAAGAGCGATTGAACAGGAAAGCTTGCATTTTGTGGCTCACAGAAGAGTTGAAAGGAGTAATTCACATCTACTCTGAGGTGGCATTAATTTACTGCAGCAAGATCTGTAGGAGCCACTTGAGGTCTAACTTGTTTTATTATTAGTGACCTCTCTCACAAAGGCATTATTGCTCGTGACCCTTATGCCTGAGTTGAGGAGAAAAAGAAAAGTTTTAAATTTGAATCTGTCTCATGCTAGCTTTTTAAACAAGCAAAGTACTAATATTCATAGGGTCTCAACTATATCCTCATCAAAAGGGAAGAGTTCTTCCAATTCTCAGCATTTCGGATAGTATTGCTGTTGTGGTAGTATAGTGTAGAGTCGAAAATGACCCATAGCTGACACTCTAACAGGTTTTCAGATGCAGATTTTCAGATTGCCCGTCCTCCTGTGCAGCAGCTGGTGGTCTTGAACCCTGTGCCTTTGGAACTGCAGCACAGCTTCTTACCACTAGGCCACAAGAGCTCATTTTGCATTTCTGATAGTAGTGTTGTTGTGTTATGTGCCCTCGAGTCACCTCTTAACCCTGCTCTATCCTGTGCCAATATTATTGTCTTTGATACACCTACCCCCATTACCCTAGTTACTGAATCGACATATCTCATCGAGGTTTCTTCCTCTCCTGCGCTGTCCCTCCACCCTCCGAATCATGATATCCCTCTCCAAGGACCGGTCCCACCTACTGTCATAATATATGCCAAATGAGAGCATGAACTTAAACACTGGGAGGCTTAAAGAGGCCAACAACTTTGGATAATCACAGGAGATTGGTCACATGAGTTTTCTATTTAGTCACTCTGAAATAATGCAGTTGTTGTTATGTACGGTCGAGCTGGACCCTCAGTAGGTCTTCAGAGGCAGTAAATCGCCGGAGATTTGAGATTCTGGACTAAATCTAGGATATTTTATAAGTTGCAGTTCAAAATACTAAGGATTTTGATGACAGTATTTAACCTTATGATCATGAAATTGAGAATGGATCAATGAATGCATAGTGGCACTATAATGATTATGTATTAGGTACTGGGATATTTTATGAGCATGCAGAAATATATCATCAATGTCTGTCTGTCTATCTATCTATCATCTATCAATCTATCCCTATATCTATGACTCTATCCATCTATCTATTTATCTAAGAATAAATAGATGTTGAGTTTGGCTAGAATGTAATACATCAGCTGTGGAGTGCAACAGTGGAACTTTTAAGATCTTAACCCTCTCATGAACTAAAGCTTGAATTTTACGTTTGTAGCGATAATGAGGCTATTCCTTTGGAGGCAAGGATTCTGAGGCTTCATCTGACATACTTTGGATATGTTGCAAGGATGACTACTCCTTGGAGAAGGACGTCATGCTTGGGAGGATGGAGGGACAGCTCAGGAGGGGAAGACCCTCTATGAGATGGATTGACTCAGGGTAATGGGGGTAGGACTGTGAAAGACAATGAGATTGGCACAGGATAGAGCAGGGTTTCGGGCTGTTGTACATAGGGTTGCTATGAGTCTCAGGCAACTCAACACATAACAAAAACAACAATAGAGATAATAAGACCCAGGGAAAGACAGCCACCATGGAGAGAGCTGGGAGTAGGGCCAAGTCTCTGGGACTCTGTGGGCCAGCTCCTTCCTGCCTCCATCTCTTCTGCTAGCCATCTCCATGCAGGTAGATCTTTACCCTTTATGGGATAGATTTCTTTCAGGAATCAATCCCACAGCAATTAGCAACAACAGTTCGTTGGGAAAAAGTTAACCACTATGCTCAGTAGACATAACTCCCAATGTATACTTGAACCCCAAAGCCCCAGTTCTTACCATCCAGTGTCCTCTCGCCATCTACTTTCCAGGTTTCTAACCGTCTTTTTACACATCCCACCACATCCTGACTTCCTCACAGCAATCAGGTGATCTTTCCAAAACAGTCAAACTAACATTGTCCAAATGCTCTAGGTCTCATCCAGAATGATATGCAAGATTTTCACTGTTCCCTATGAGGCTCTTCAGGACACGGCCTCTGGTGGCCGTGTTGACCTCATCTTCTGGCGTGTCTCTTCGGGTTCACTACCTGTTTTAGTCTGGGTTCTCAAGAGCAGCAACCAGGGAGCATGGATGGCCTGGTGGCAAGAAGCTGCACTGCAGTCCTGAAGGCATACAGTTTGAATCCACCAGCCGCTCTGCGGGAGGATGGGCAGTCTCCTCCCACGTGATTAACTGCCTCAGAAAACCAGTTGGAAGGTTAGCTATCGGTCAGTTATGACTCCATGATACACAACAACAGAGCAGCAACTAACATCGTCAACCACCACCAACATGATCAGTGAGGTCAGGGTTTGAACATGCCTCCGGAAACTCTGTGAACTTTAATAAATATTGATGGTTGTAGAGGGGCTTCAGGCCTTTTGTTCATAGGGTCACTATGAGTCGTGCTCAAACTTAAAGGCAGTCAACAACAACAACAAGCCAAAAAAGTCCTCCCAAGACCATTGTGGG